CAGAGGTGCTGGGGACTCTCTTCTGTCACTTCAGTATAGAAGCAGAAAGAGAAGAGAGCAAAAATTGCTGAGTTACATACTGTGGTTATCACTGAAAGAAAGGGGAAAAAAAACAGCTTTCAGCAGGGGACTGGCTGGAAAGAAATAAGCAGCATAAGGCAAACATCTTGAAAAAGGTTATGAAATACCTGGGGAGAAACACATAAAACATGGAGACAATCTTTCCTGTTCAGTAGGGATGAGGTGATAGTCACGCGTATGGGAGCAAGCCTGGAGACTGTCCGTCTGTTGATGCAAATGCTGCCTAGGAGCTGACGGAGCTGCTGGACACAGGCACATGCAAACGATACATTGCCTTAAAATACTAATTAAGAACCTTATGATTTGATTACTTCTGTGAACCATGGTGCCTCTTGACCCCGCACTAGGTCTAGGTCCCCATCATCCTTGCTGCCAAACACTGAGACCTCTATGGAGCATCTAGGATGGTTATTTACGGCCCACTTGCGACATGTCCTCAGAACACAGCACATGCCTGTTTCTTAATATGGAGGAGGAATCTCAGCAGAGGGAAATTTCAGTCCAGAATCTGAAAGCATTTACTTCGCTCCTGCTGCTATTCATCCTTTTTCTCTCCTGCTGGTGTGCATTTTTCTGCCCTGCTGGCTGTGGTGCTGCATACTAATGGAGCAAGCCTTGGCCCGTGCCCAGGGGAAGACATGTTCAGGTTTATTGGGGAACAGAGGAGGGGGAAGAGGGGATTGCAGCACATCCAATAATTCTCCCATGTGTGGCATGCTTACATGTGAACAGCGGATATTTGATTCCAGCTGTTTCCTTCTGTTATTACATCACCTTGGAAAAAGCACATCCAGCATCCTCTCCCTGATGATACAGCACGATGGCTTTTAAAGCTCTGCTGTTTCTACAGCTCTTAGGTGTGCTGGGAGAAAAAGGCAGGTCTCCCTAAATCCCTGCCCCACGGGAGACAAGCTGACTGACCCTGCACATCTCCTGCAGGTCAGTTTTTCTTCTTGATGCCAGTTGGATTCAATTTTGCAAGCCCGAGTTGATCTTCAGCTGCGGTTAGGAGGTGACTCCCTTCGAGCAGCACAGAAAGAGCAGCAGGAGGGTTCCATTTTCCTCCCAGGAATCCGCTTGGATGCATAAATGCCCTGGTTTGGCTTTTCCAGCATGGGTAACCGGGGGTTGTCAAGCCCCACAGGGCTCAGCTTAGCGGCAGGCAGGCGCTGTGGGCCTTTGGCCGCCCTCCCTGTCCGGTGCCCTCGTGCGCGGCCTGCGCCGCTCTGCTCCCGTGTGAGCGGCACTGCCGCCCTCTCGGCTCCGCACGCAGCCCGCACGGGCCCTCCAAGCCCTCCTGCAGGCTCCCTGCCTTTCCTGCTCCGCTGGGAGGAACAGAACACTGACAAAGACAAGGAAACCCCACGAGAGCAGCGCCAGGGGGCAAAGGCACGCAGGGAAGGATGTGCTTTGTTGGGTTATTGAGCTCGGGTACAAAGCGGAGCAGTTTGGAACAGACACATGGGGCGTTGTCTGTTTTGGTGATTAAAATGTGCGTTTTGATGATTAAAATGTGTGTTTCAACGATTAAAAAAGTGCCGAAATCAGCAAGTTCTATTCTTCATTACTAACTGCATTTTTAGGGTAACGGGCGCGACATCTCCACTCAATCACCTTCCCTTTCGCAGGAGCACTCATAGTGATAACTAAACATTTCCTCAATGTTATGGTCCCTTGTAGCAACGACTCGGAATGTTTCTGTCCTGTATCCGCAACGGCTCATGAGACTAGGAAAAAAAAACCTGAGAAATGAGGGCAGGTGGGTTCGCACAGTGTCCAGGAAGACCGAATAACACCTTTCTAATGACAACATAAGCCAGTTACTGTCTCAAATCCAAATTTAGTGGTCAAATCACACCACTGATTCTAAGAAAATATACTATTGTCCTACCATAGTTTTTCTCTATAGATTTTTTTAATAACATAGAAATAAAATGAGGACAGGCTATAAATGCGGATAGCAGTAGAATTGATTCAGCCAATTTTTGCTTTTGTGGTGGGGAACACACAATTATTCAATGCCTTGTATAAGCACCCAGTAAACAACAGGAGGTAGGAGAGAGGCAAGCTGTGTTTGCAGTAGATGATAACAGAAACATTATCTCCATTTTACAGGTTCAGAAGGGAGGCATAGGAAGGATAAAAAAAAACCCTCTGAAGTCACTTGTGCCGCTGGATTGGGCTGGGGATGTGGCACCAAAGTGCAGGCACTTTGACCTGCTCCAGCTTGGTTTTTCAAGGAAATGAGAGGGAAAACAAGACACCCAGATGTCTCAGTGCCATTACTGAAGGGACAATTGCAATTTGCAATTTTTACTGAAGGGACTCTGGAGAAGCAAAGATTTTCCTCCTGCTGTAGCAACCGCCTGGAGGTTCTCTTGCCCTTTTTTTTCCCCTCCTATGTTTTTTATTATTACTATTATTTCCAGGTAATTAAATTGTTCAGCCGGGAAGCATGGCTGCAATGCCAAGGACTGAGGAAATCTTGCACCGCAGAGCACAAACTGCTCCGTACTCCAGGCCGTGGCAGCTTCCGCAGGGAGCGACCGCAGCCGGGGATGACAGAGCCAACAGCTCCCGGCGCAGTGAGTGACAGAACTGGGACACGGCAAATTGCACTTCCGAAGCCTGCGGCAGAGCGATCGCTGGGGGAAACGCTCTGCATTAAAAGCAGAGTCATGTGCCCTTTTCCTAGAACAAGGTATAAGTAGGACAGCCCGTGACTGTTTCCTTTTTTCCTTTCTAAGCTGTTTCACTTTAAACATTTCTCCTTCCTCCTGTCGTTCTTCTTTGCTAGTCCTTTAAAGGACATCTTTCCTTTTCAGCCTATAATAGCGGTGTAACAGCATCCTATATAATTGTACTCTTGCACTATTACAGCAGCACATATTCATATTAAATCAAAGGGATTTTGCGAGCCGAAAGTCATGTTAATTGAAAAAACAGCTTGGGGTGCAACATCTATTGCTAGCTCGTCCCCTCCTGGGTTGATTGCAGCAATTGCACCTCAGAGCATCATTTCTGTATTAGATGGCTCCGTGCCATGCCCATAAGGACACAACTGAACCACCCCCGTGTACAGAATTATAACATCCCAAAAATCTGCGCTCACATCTCTCCCATAGAGCATTCCCACCTCGTATGTGCCTGCTGCTACCCCAGTGGGAGCTGCTCAGGACCCTTCTTACACCTCAGACAGAAGGTACGGCTTGAATTGATGAGCCTTAATTTGAGAATTACTTTAACAATTAATTTCCATTTAAAAAAAATCACTCCCACAAAATGTTATATCCATATATAATTTGACTCACAGTGTGAAGTTTCACTAAAGCAGTGGCACGGTGAATTCAACGCAAATGTAATAACCTTAGTGAGACCAACCTCAGTGGAAAAAAAAGTCTTCAGAAGAAAATTGGAAAGAAAACTTACAGCAATCTAGAGAAAGGATATTAATCTCTAATATTTCAATGGCTCTAGGGAATTCTTTAGTATAGACAGAATAATCTATTCAATTATACACTGTGATCAAAAACCCATAAAGGTTGTTACAAAACTTCTGTTAGATTTTGACTACAGCATAGTCACAAGAGACTATAATTTACCTAAGACTACAGTTTCAGACAGGTTTTTGCATGTTTTTAATGATACCTCTCCTGTACTCAGATGGTTATTTATGGTTAAGTGCCCAGAAACAAGAGGCCACAACATGAAGCATGTTCAAAACCCTAGAATAAATTTATCACTTTGTAGCTTTTGTTAGGATTGCACAGAAAATTAGAAACATGGATATCATAACTAGCCCAACAGTTATTGTTGCGCCTGTGGTTATTTCTTCCTATGAAGTCAAGTTTAAACCTGCTTCTATAGGGATTTTCATCAATCTAAGCCAATGGAAATGTCACTGTGGCTCAATACTGGTAAGCAGGATCTTCCAGAGAGGAAATATAAACTTTGAAATGACCAATAAAAGGGAACAGTTATATGAAGTTAACTTAATGTATTTCCAAAAAGAATAGTTGAAAGTCCCTTAAAGTACAAGAAAATGGGATATATTTTATAGGACTGTGATTACTGTGCATAAAGCATAAGTTATGTTTTAAACCTAATTTGCCATAACTATGTTACGTGTTTACCAAAGGTTTGATATAATCATTGGTGTACAAATCCCCAAATAAAACTCTGAATAGTCACTAAATAAAGAATCTCTTCAAAATGTAAGTAGAATTATAGTGAAAATCCTAGTGAAATTCCTTAGAGGCCAGGAAGCCTCTAAGGAATATTTCAAAGATACATTGAAAAAGGATTTTCTTTCACACATTTCTTGCAGCCCTTTCTCATTGCAATGCCCACACACTACTAGGGAGGCAGGACACAGAGCACAGCAGCCACGACTGGAGACGAGAGGCTCAGACAAGAGGTCTCATCTCGAAAGCTGACGCCTTCCCTGCACTTAGGTCCTTGGGCACGACAGCAGTACCAGGAATTCTCCCAGCCTCAAGATTTCCAAGTAAAAGCAGATCCGAGGGGCATAGCTACCACCACTTCATGTGATAAGGAATTGCTGATGCATCCTGTAGTCCCCTAAACCTGCACGATCAGAGCTGTAGGATGTTGATGTTACTCTATTCAATTCTGGTTATGTAGTCCTTCGGACAGCTCACATTTAGCTGTTCACTTAGCCTTACACATATTTTTCTCAATTAATTCATAGCATAAGTTCCTTTCTAAAGGGCACTTTAGCATTACTGAAGACCCCTAACTTTTTCTTCTTCCAATAAAAAAAAAAGTTATAATTTTAATATCAAAAGACTGCACTTTCCTAACTGTCCACTGTAAAGAATTCCATCGAGAAGAAAATAGGAAGTTAAAAAATTGCCCCCACCCCTCATACACACAGAAAGGGGACAAAACCAGGCCAATAAAGTTTGGTTATAAGTTTTACTTGTGTAAAAATCCATTCTCTTTTAACATCATTCCATTATAAAAAAAAAAAAAAATCTGTTTGCAGCTCTACTCATGGTCTTACAACTGTGAATGCAAGCAGGTAAAACATCCTGTAACACTCACTATGAAAGGCAGGACACACCACAGTGCTGTAGTTGGCCAAATACTCCTGGTGACTTCATAGAGAGCTTAATCACCAGTCCTCCCTGCTGCATACACATCATTGGCTTATTTTGGAATATAAAACCTGGAAGAGTTAAAATACATGGAAATGTGTTCGGAAAGAAGGACCATTATCACAGAACAACAGCTGTGTTGGATCTTTGAAAAAATCTTGAAACAAACAAAAAACTCTCTTAGCATTTTCTTCTCCATTATTAAGTGTCTTAAGATAGAAAACTGTTCCATTCTTTTTCTTCTGTGTTCCTGCATCTTCATTCTCATGTTTCCTTCTTAGGATATTAAGTTGTAAGGTTACTTCTCATGTGTTTTTTCCATCATCTTCAATGCTAATCTTCCAACCATTAGCAAACTGTTTATGGGGAAAAAAAAACCAACAAAAAATAAAATTAAAAAGTAATAAAAAATTGTCAATTCACTATCAAATACCTACATTGCAAATTATGCATAGGAAATAAAAATACAGATAAAACATAATTTATTTGATCACTGTTTAATTAAGCAAGAAAAGAAATTATGCATGGAGAGGGGAGCAGGGCGGGAAAAAAAAAATGTATATTGTGTTGTACCTGACACCAGCAATTAACCCTGCAGGCATGAATTTTCCAGAGTTGTAAAACCTCGTTCCCATGACAGCAGTCAGTGTTCCCGATGTAACTTAAACGAGAAAGAGCACAGTTAGCAGAGATACATATGGGAGAGATGCTTGTTCAGAACTAATGGAACAGAGATAAGCGGTAATATAAAGAGTGAGAAAAGATTATTTTATGTAGGGGATAAAAAGAGTCAGTAAGATGTGCAAACTTTTGTATGCCTTAGTATAGAAAGAATAAATATTCAAAGTTAAGTTCTAGTAGACAACACACACTGTCACTCCTCCTTAAATTTCTTAGGTAAAATGTGCTTCGTTGGAGACTGGGAGTAACGTACACCGCACTGCTCTGGAAACAACTCCTTCCTAGTGTGGTAAAAACTGATAAGCCTGTGCATGTTATTCCCTCACTTCTTGTAAGAGGGAGATAGCATTTTCTTGCCTCACTTCTAAGGTTCCAAGGATTAACTGCTTTGCAGAACTGGAAAGCTGCCATGCTGACTAAGTGCTAAGTAAGCACTGCCCGGCTGCTCCAGCCTCACGCTGCTTCTCGCGACGCGGGATCAGGGAGCGCGTTGGACACTGCAGCAGGAGCCAGGCAGAGCCCGCGGGCCAGCGGAGCAGGAAGGGCAACCCCTGGTATCCCAAAGAAAGGTTGATTGCTACAAAAACTATAGAGAAAACATACTGATGAAATCCTCAGCATGCAGTTGCTACCCAGGGGTAGCAGCAACACAAGAAGGAGTGTTTGGAACAAGGATCCCCTGTTACTGCTTCCTACATGCAGGAAGGCTCTTACATTGCTGCAGGATCGAGTCCATCTTCAGTCCTAGCGAAGGAATGGGATTGAGAACAGGGAGGATACAACTAAGGCACAAATAGTGGCCAAAGGATTACACCAACAAAATGCACACTTGCAACTACCTCAGCTAGAGCAGTGTAACAAGTGGCAGACACCAGAAGCTGCAGGAAATATCTACATGTATATTCTCTGCCTACTTCAATTAAAAGCTAACCTAACTGATTACTGAAAAGAGACTTAAGTTGTTTTGCACCTTGCATGGGCTTCATGCACACACAGGTTAAAGCAATAGATGATCCCCTGCTAAACTGTCTTAACTTGACTGTACCCCTGAGCCCTGTAGGATAAATGGCATAAAGACTACAAATGCATTTAGGGCATTCATAACATAGTGCATATCAGTTTTTTAAAAGAAATTTTTTGGTAAAGGAAGTGAAATAGTGGTGTTTCAGTTTCTTTTCACAGAAGTTTCTTTTTCAGTTTCTTTCATTTTTACCATATGAGTGTCAGTTTATCCTACGCCTTTTCCTTCACAACGAGTATGTTTTCAGTGTTCAGAAAACCAACCATCCTGATGAATAACACGCTGCTGAGAGGAACAACAAGTTCCAACTATCATCCAAAGCATTTTATGCTTCTTGAAGAAAGGGATGCAGGAAAGAAGGAACTTACTGAGGAATTGCTGAGCAAGACACACCAACAAGTGCTTTTTAAATATGTATCTTCTTTAAAACATCTTTAAAAATATTTAAATGGTGTTAACTGTTCCTGTTCCAGGCAAAGCAATGGAGTTTGACAACTAATGAAGATTTTCACTGAACACACGTTTAAAGACTGAATATAAACTAAATGTGTAACACCACCAGATTAACTCTTGTGCAGTGACTACTGTACTTCTATGCACTCACCTCAAGCATTCAGTTATTTTAGAGCAAATATAATCCCTCACAAATAAGTTTCCAAGAGACTTACTCAGAGAGATCCACACGTTATTTGGATTCTGTGAGAGCTGATAGGCACCCAGTCCTGCAAAACTCCCAAAGAGAAGGCCAGCAGCCAGAGATGGGACACTACCTGCACAAAGCAAAGAAAGTGCATTAGAAGATCAGAAAGAACTTTTTTTTCCATTTGTTTACTTGTTTTGTAGAATATCAGAAATAAAAAACCACGGGCATTCGCTGTTAGAAAGCAGATTTTAAGTTAAGACCATGCTGCGCAAGATAGCAAGCATTCAGGTTTGATTTCTTAATAGCAAAGCCATCAAGATACTTATGATGAGAAGACTGTTGAGTAGAACAAAAGAATCAGTGCTATCTTTGTGTGAAATGAAGTGGGCTGTTTCAACAATGTGATTGATTCCAGAATTAAAACGGAGGAATTAATGGGCAAGAGGGTAAGATCAGAGAAAGGACATGTAAGTTGAACGGGCAGGAGACGAATAGGAAGTTGCTGAAGTGGCATAGGGAGTTGAATAAAACATTCCCTCTCTCTTGAGTGTGTCTGAGATTTGATCTAAGGGTCACTGCAGACTTTGGAAGAACATTCTCTGGACTTGCCTAGATTTTTGATCAAATCCTTAGTATGAACAATAATCCTGAACTACCAGGAAACAGAAGATATCATATTTGAAATGGTGATTCATGGATGACATCAATTAATGAAGTGCCATGACCACTGAGAGTGATGAATGTCCTCACCTAGGCTAACAGAAAACACAGATCTTATTGCTACTGAGGGTAGTACTTTGTATATTCCATTGCTTTAGGTTACCTTTCAGAGGAAAGGAGATTGCAAAGCCAAGCTGATAAATATTTCCTCTCAGCGTTATTGGAAGGGAGACTGCATGCTGCTGTAAGAAAATAATCATTCCTCAGGCATCAACAAGGCAGCTGCAGTGTTGTTTTAGATAACATTTTTTGGCATAAAAAGCCATATGACAGCACCAGCTCTCCTTGTACATGTGCAAGGAAGAGATATGCACTCTAGTAGGTGGCTACTGCAGATCCAGGGCAGTTCAGCAACAAACACGTGGTAACTGCAATTCTTTACACAAGCCTGGGAGTTCACAAATGCCTCTCATACCCTTGCATTTTACCCTGAGGCATCATTTAAGAAGCTATGGCACATGAACTCACTAGGACAACACGACAATCTCTGGCTCAGGAGCTCCCAAGACTTTGGAGATCTAGAGAACATATTGAAGGAGAGGGGGGAAAAATAAAAATAACAACATTAAATTGTTCTGCACTTGCCCTATTCTCGTATTCTTCCCAAGGCACCTAGTGCTGGCCACTGCCTAAGACCCAGTTAAGAAAGATTATTTTAGCTTTATGGAAGTTTCATTTACTTTTACTTCCTCCAAGACATTTTCATGGCAAATTATTACGCAATTTGGATTATGAAAACATAAAGCATGTCTGTTTCACTTCATTAAAATACCACCAGCATAGAAAAAGGCATCAGCTGCATAAAATCATTAAAAATCCTTTCCAGTTAAAGAGTCTACCTACTGTTCACTGCATTGAACAATTTCTTTGTATGTCCCAATTAAATCCTTTTTTTTTTTTTTTTTTAGTAAGGATAGGAAAATGGTCACTATTCAACAATTAGATTGACTGTACACTTACAGATATATGTTTATGGAAAGCAGACATGGAAGAATAAAGCAGTTATATTTCAGGAGTATGCTCTCTTTTATTACTCCTCTCTATTCTTTTAAATGTGCTTTTCCAGTGTTTGCCACCAAAACAGGCCAGTTATAGCAGGGAGATGACAATTTTGTTTCAAATTTCTCTGCAAACTTCTATCCCCCCTTCAGAAACCTTGTGAGCTGGATTCTCTTCCTGTCTCAACATGAGCTGTCCTCCCACGTGGTAATATGGTTAGTGACAGTATTGATAGTGTGGCCTATTGCTTCATAAGGAGCTCAGAGAGCTACGCAAAAAGTTCGTCAAGTTGCACTCACAGACCTAAACTGCACTCACAGCCCCAAGGGCAAGGCAAGCCAGTAGAAAGCAGCTGGAGGAGCAGCATCGGTGCAGTCGGATATACTGGTAATCTCCCCATTGACTTCAGCAAAGCTTCCTATTGACTTCAGCGTACGACCAACGCTAAGACAGCCTGGCAATTTCTGAAGCAGTAAGGACCAGACCGGCATCACAGCAGCGACGATCCCCGGCTCTGCTGGGGCAAGGGAGACCGAGAAGGATGTCAGGAAGGGGAAGGAGGAGCTTGGGATGGGCACTCAGGAGCAGAAGGGAGCTCAAGGCGGGAGCTGAGCGGTTCAGCTGTGCTGGCACAGGGAGAGGCTCCTCCTGAAACTCTCCGTGTCGCGCAGAGCGCGGGCAGCGCCAGGCACTCAACAGAGTAACTCTGCAAGGGCACGGAGGGCACAGGAAGAAACCGAGTGCTTTATGTCACCTGAAAACACAGAACGTTGCTAGAATGCTTGTTTTGAAAATAACAGGAAAGAAATAAGGGGAAAAAAAGGGCCCTTTCTGAAGCAAACCTCTGCTGGTTGTCCCCAGGGGCCCCGCAGCGCGGCAGGGAGGTGACACTCACCGGGCAGCAAAGCTCGGGCTTATCGAGCCCGCACAGCAGCTGCAGCAGCCAGGCCCACAGCCCAGCAGAGCCCAGCGACAGCCGCAGCCCGGCCGCTTGGGACACCCACGTTCCCGGCAGGAGAGCCGCCTGCTCACCCACGCTTATTTAACCGTGGAGGGGCAGCAGGGGAAGGGAGGGGAAAACGGGGGTAGCGCCTTGCAGAGCCTACCTGCTTTCGCATAGCCGATGATGCCACCCGAGGCCACCAGCGCGGCGTAGCCGAAGCCGAGCCAGTCCACGGACATGCTGCGAGCGGGACAAGAACACGCTGAGCGCCACGAAGGGAGCGCGAGCCGCTGAGCAGAGCGGGCCCCGCGAAGCCGGCACCTCTGCGGAACCGCGAGCCGAGGGGCCGCGGAAGGGGAGGCAGCGAGCGGCGCTCCGCCCTGCCCCGAGCCTCCCTCTTCCGGCTGCTTTCCGGGAGAAAACAACAAAAAATATATATAATTTTTTAAAAATATATATAATACACACTTTTTTTTTTTTTGTTTAAGAAGCTAAACCCTATAATTTTACAAGGCTAAGCAAGGGAATATTGGAAGCCCCACATGCCAGGGGAGCCTGGCTAGCCGGCAGATAAAAATCTGCCCAGGCACCTTCCTGCCAAGCGTGCCAACTCTTCTAGCGCTTGGATTACTGGCCAGGGCTAGTAGAGAACATTAAATGCCCTATTTCGAAAGGAATAAAAGAACAGCTAGTGCAACTATTTGGCCTCATTCTCTCCATCTCAACTTTGCTCTTCCCACTGCGTGTTTGTGTCGAGACTTAGGATAACGCTCTGTTCCCACTGACTGATAAGCTCAGGAATTCACGTTTTGTTCAAATATGATGCAGATGGGTGACATTCTTCCACCACGAAAACTTCAAATACGTTAGATAATTTTACTTTTTCCCCCCTCACAGTAAAGCTCAGATCAAAGGGAAGGTTTGTGGGGAGAATGGAAAAAAAGATTCAATATAAACTCTTCCTCTTAAATATATATAGTCTTCTGAAATTAAAAAAAAAAAAAAAAAAAAAAAAAGTGACCCCCTGAACCTAATCTATTCGTATTTTGTAAATATTAATATTTTGGAATTTCTTGAAAGCATATGGTGAAAACTTGATGCAGACCTCTTATGAGTATTCACGTAAACCAGGGAAATCAGCTCCTAGAGAAAAAGGGAGCTAGACTCTACACATGGGCATAAGGACTTTAAAGACATGGCATAAAATAAAAGGTTAAAAAGGAAGTATTTTATATATAAACTCTACATATATGACAAGAAGTGAGACACAAAATTTTATAGAAGTTTGAATGGAATTTGATGATCAGATTTTCAGTTATTTAAATGTGTTCCTTCTTACTGCAAGAAAAGCAAAGCAAAGACAGACGGTTCCTACATATAAAGAACAGTAACTTTTTGAACACTAAAGTGAAAAATTGTAGGTATTTCCAATTTGCATTTAATTGAGACACAAACATGTAACTGATACAGATATAGCTACTTTAATTGCTTTAGCTGACATTTTCAGAGACTGTTAAAAAGTGTATACCATTATTAATATAAAAATATAAATATTACACTTTATGCATTTTGCCTCATTTAATTAGGAAAAATTGCCACTTCTGGTACTTTCCACAATGATCAGGTCAAAGTAAAAGATGTCATTACTTTGAAACATGAGATAGCTTCAGAAGCACACATTCTGTCAGAGGTTTACACCTTTGTAAAAACTGATGACAAACACCACCATTTATTTTCTGTTCAAGAGAACTGCCTTCACTCTGAGTTCTTCAGTTTCTTTTTCTTCTTTTTCAGGGGAGTTTCCAACTTTCGCTTCTCAGGAATATTTTTTCCATCTTTTACTTTTTTATCATTCTTATCAGTCCAACAAACTTTCTTTTTCCTAACTAATAATGACTTGTCCTCTTCATTTGCTGAAAAAAAAAAAAATCTGTGTTTGTTTCCAGTCTTTGTAGCCTCAGGTAGCACAGAAACTTATTTGTATCTCTCTTTAAAAAAGGAGGGCCATAAAACTATACCGTATTTAAAATGGAGTTTGCACTTTATGCTAGTTTTGCCTGTGAAATGAAAATAATCTGAAGATCTAAGTCTGTAAATAGGTTACTACAGAAGAAAAGAAAAGAAAATATGACCTGGACTTTGTAAGTTTGCACAACTGTATTAGCTTCAAATTTTTAAAGTTTCCCAGTGTGTTCCTCAGGATGTTATTTAAGCAAAGAGGAATAAAACTTTCATATAACAGAAATGCGAAGAGGCCCATATCCTCCAACTAGGTGACAATACATCGTGCAAACAGTTACCAGATAAAAATGAACTATTGCTCAGGCCCAAATCACCACTCAGTCCCTGCACCTTTCTTCCTATGTGTATTTCTTTTGCTGAGGCATTACTATGTGCAGGCTTGAGACACTGTTAGATGGGTAAAGACACCTGTGTCGCTCGCCAGTCTTGTATCCCCAGGTCTTCTCCAATTTATGTGTGAAAAGGTCTCCCACTCATTATCTTCCATCTCATAATCACATTAACAATAAAAGTACACACAACTCTCTTACCTTGAGATGCTGTTGCAGCTTTATCAGACTTTTCTTTGGTTTCTGAAGCCTGGTCAAACCACACTGCCAGACATGTCAGCCTAGCTTTGGTATCGACTTCGCCTAGTAAAGTAGGCGCATCTTTAATCTGAAAATAATACAGAAAAGAAGTCCAACAACATTAATTTACTTCCTTTTAAATTTACTTAAGTATTTAAAGACTTTCTCAAATTTTACTGCCCCATTTCCACTTCTTTCAGGAGAACTGTGAAATGTGTAGACACTTGTGCAGGCTAATGATCAGATTCTTACACTCCTGGTATCCTCACGCCATTCCTCCCTGGTGATTTCATACAAAATTCCCAACTACTTTAAGAGGATATCTTGATAAGCAAAACTGATAGCTTTCAGGCACATGAAAATAGTTTAGTATGAGGCAGAAGCAGCTGAAGTACAACAATAACATTTCTTAACGATTCAAAACTTAAGCTCCAGAGTATTCACTATTTTTGGTGCAGCTAAAATAATTTAACTGATTGTATCAGATTCCTTTCTTCCCCTCACAAAGACCAAACTGCTGATTAAAAATACTATCTTCATACAATGTTCCCTGCATAACCATCAACCATTGCACTGGTTCTCAGCTGCTCTGTATCAGGGGAATACTTGGACAAATAACCTATTCCGTGTATGAAGTGATGTGTGAAGTGTCACAAACGTGCAGAGTACCAGTATCAATACATCAGAAACCATTTGCAATAGGATATTCTTCCTCACAGAACTGGGCAAAGCAGCCCTTGCAGTTACACCAACAGTTTTACAAGTTTTTGCCTGTATGGCAAGAAGGAAAAAAAAAATTGTCACACAGACAAAATAATGACAATGTTGCAGAGAGGGTCAAAAATAATGTCTATTACGTACAAGCGGAATAGAAATTTGAGACAAAAGGAAAAGCTTTTCACTCTAAGTTGAAATTATACATGGGCAAATTCAGACTATAAATATAATGCACAAAATGTTAACAGATATGTATTTCATCTTATATGCTTATAATGGAATATAACGGACCCTTACGATTAGGCATTTAACAACTCTAATCATAATACACATATATAACTGACTAGACAGTCATAAGAGGAAAGAACAACTTTACATAGAAGAGAAAAAAGTTTCATAATTTCATCAGATTTTATAGTTTGCTAATAAATTACAGAGATACAAAGATACACAAATATAACTTAACCCATATATATCTGCTGAAAATAGCATGGAGGAAGATCAAGATATCGAGACTGCAAATAAAGTTTCCTTGGTAATTTAATCTTTATCTTTGGTTCATCTTAATCTTTAGTAATTTAGTCTTTAAAATGGAACAATCTACAATTTTAGTTGTCTGATGTTTTTCCATAAATGAACCAGCCAGTTAAACCAACTGACCTTATTAAGATCCAAATTCCACATTTTAATATAACCGTCACTGGATGCAGTAACAACAACATGTTGTCCTTCCCTTTCAAAACTGTAGATATCTTTTATTCTAGGAAGAAAAGGAAATACTTTGTTACTTTAGAGCATGGTAGTTCACTTCAAAACAGTAGGCTGACAAAAATTAAAGATGACTAGGCAACAGTCTAAAAAAGATTTTGAAGAGAAAAGCCACAAATGACAGGCAGGAACCGGAAAAGCTAATCTCTCTTGAACGCCGTCTTTTAGAGTGGGAATATTTGCCTTTCCTAGGTTGTTACGACTCAATTCACAAGAACACTTCACTACTACTAAGAACACACACTAACATTCCTCCACGTAAGTGACGTTTTGGCTAACGCTTTTGTGTTTTGGTGAATTCAAATATGCGTTTGAGTAGATATATATCCAAATTCACATACATTATATATAAACTTTAGGTTTATGATTTCAGTGCTAGAGGGCTCCCAGTAGGGAAGGGCTGCAGTAGGGTCTGGCCTGATGGGTAAATCAGATCTTAACTATGGCGGAGGAAACTGCTGCAGGGATTAACTGAGACATGAGCGAACATCACCACGTCTTAGTAACGAGTTTGCTAGTTCACTGGAGTAAAGCTAGTTCACTGGAGTAAAGCTAGTTCACTGGAGTAAAGCAGCAGAATAGTGGGAACCCTGTAAGGTCACTGTCATCTGCTGCCTCAGCAGCACTATAGACTCTTACAGTCCGATTAAATTTTGATACTGTAATTTTTAAAAGCATATCACTTTAGGGCAAGGAACAAGAAGAAGCGGATTTTCCTCCTGAAATACTAACTGACATCAATCCATGCCACTAAATTTAGATCTTATTTTTGAAGCATATATTTAGATATGATCTAAACTGAGACTTAGATCTTTAAATCTATATCTTATACTTACATCTAAATATTGTATACTATAGATCAAAGCTCAGGCCTGAAATGTTTCTGATTCTATATCCTATTGGTTTTACAACTTGCATGGAAGCCATAGTACTTAGGCTTATACTAAAAGCAAACAAATCTGTCTCAAATTTGGAATTTCTCACTTAGCAATAAATGCACTTTCTACGGCATTTTTGTTTGCATTTTGTTCTAGCAACAAAAATAAGATATGCTGAACATTACAGTTCATTGGGCTGTACTGAATACTCAGCATGCCATAAATATTTAAATAGTGTAAGAGAACAGATACAAAATACCTGTTTTCATGAGCTTTAAATTCACATAGGCATTTTTGAGAGTCACAGTTGAAGAGCCTTATAATTTCATCATCTCCAGCAACAGCAAGGATAGTGTCCTTGAAATAGGAGAAAAGTGAGTGTGATTAAAACCATGTGTTTCAAGCCAATTTGCTTCCCAGTTTTCTTTTTGTACTTACTGTAATAAATGTAAGTGAAGAAATTCTCCTCTCTGTTGTGATGGTGCCAGTGATAGAGGCAGTGTCAAGTTTGTAGACATCAACCTTATTTGTTATCACAGTCACATACTTCTCTCCACTAGGAGACCATTTAATTATGTGGGCATCTATACAACAGACAGAATTATATACACACATATACAGATGTTGCATTCTACATTGCATACGAATCTAAAAGTAATAATTTTCAGAAGCCACTAGACACTTCTAAGTCAACCTGAGGAAAAGACAGAAAAAAACAGGAAAAAAATCCTACAATAAATAGTAAGATGTAAAATTATGCTTTTTAATATTTATTTTTCATTATTAGAAGTTAAATAAATGCTTTATTTTCTTTATAAATGTCCCAGCACCAAACTTTAAGGAAGAAAATACAATTTTTACTTAGCGTCACTCTCTTTTCCTTTTGATATACAGTTATAATTAAGGACATACGCTTGCCTGCGTGTGCAAAAAGAAGTTGTTAAAGTAGTCTGGAATTAATTGGCTTGTTGATTAATTCAACAAAAATAACAAAACCCACCACTACCTAGTTCTACCTGTTTAACAGATTTAGACTCACTTTGCTTCAGGTTTTTGATAAAGGCTGATCGTCCTTCTACAAGATTCCAAGTTCTGAAAGAAAGAATAGACAAAGTGCACTCAAGTTAAAAACAGCATCACGAAGCCTACAGTGAACTGCTATCTGCTGTCAAGAGGCATCAAAAAAGAGCTTTTAAGCATCTCTCTGCATTTTACTACCTTCTTAATGCAAGAGTGATTGATGACTTGATATTTTGTTTATGTACTACATGGTCAAAGTTTTTAAACATAGTTTGCAATGCAGAAGCAAATCACAAGAGCTATATTACTCTGTTTCATTAATTTTATATATCCATATATATAAAGCACATATACAACAACATTTGCACATTCAAAATGAAATAATACTTCTCTCACAGAGAACAAAAAAATTCTGAGCTTTGAGAAGTTTAAACAAACAGTGTTCTAAGATGAAAATATGTTTATATATCTACTGGTGATCATAACAAAGTACAGTAGGCTAGGAATAGCAGGAGCTATTCTTGAGAAGTTGCTATTGCCTAGAAATAAAAAAGATAAACTAATAGCCTTATATATTGTTGAAATATATTTCATCAGCGTTGTGCTGGTTAGGCCTAACATGGAATTGACATTTAAAAATGCAGAATTTACTAAGTACTTAACTGTGATTCTCAGCATTTCTAGATCAGTTTTGACTCACCTTAATGTTTTATCTGTTCCTACCGACAAAGCTAATTTCCCAGATGGATGAATAGAAAGAGATGTCACGTGCCCCCTGACAAAAACAAAACAACACATAAGCCACAGGTATTACATATAAGGAAATTAAACATGAAAACTCATACCGATATGCAGACTCAAGACACTCACTTATGTGCCTTAATGGATTTCAGGCATTCCCATCTCTTTGTGTTCCAGATGCAGATGAGCCCGTCTTCAGCCCCACTGAGCAGATGAGAGGTTCCATAGAACTCCAGACAAGTTACGGTGCCTATAACCAAAATCCATGCTATAAAACATGCTGCACATATTGAACCCTCACCACACCTAGAACATATTAATTGAGATGCTTCTAGCATCCAAGTGTGCCAGCTGCTTAGGAAAATAGCTGAATTAGCTGAATCTTAGGAAAATCTGAATTATTTCTCAAGTACTTCTTCGTTCAAAAAATAAACTTCCTTGCTACGTTCAATCTATAAGCTCAGTAAGTCCTCCTGTAGCCGTATACATTTGAACTTCTTCCGATCTATCCTTTTAAATAGCAATAATCAAGAACTGCGTCCCGGGTGACACACACCTTGCACCAGTGGCAGTGGCCTGGCACGCAGCTCAGTGTCCCCCCTCTGTGTCCCCTTTCGGCACGCAGCTCAGTGTCCCCCCNGGCACGCAGCTCAGTGTCCCCCCTCTGTGTCCCCTTTCGGCACGCAGCTCAGTGTCCCCCCCTCTGTGTCCCCTTTGGGCACGCAGCTCAGTGTCCCCCCTCTGTGTCCCCTTTGGGCACGCAGCTCAGTGTCCCCCCTCTGTGTCCCCTTTCGGCACCCAGCTCAGTCCAGAGCACATGCTGCTTCCCAGAAGCACCACGTTTACCAAACCTAAGTTGAATGCACATGTGAACCATGCCTGCTCAGTTCAATTCCATGTACTCCTTGGTCACCAGGAGGAAAAGGACACTCGGGAATGAGCTCCAAATCACCCACACGTCCTGAGCTGGGCTATCATCAAATGTTCTCTTTCCCAGCTGCAAAATCAAGCTCCCCCCTCACCATTGTGCTGCAGCAGCGCCCCGTGCTCCACCTTCTTCCTCATATCATAAATATGGATCGTCTCATCCTTGCTCCCAGTGACCACGTATCTGCTGTTCACCGCTATGGCTGACAGCGAGGCCGTGTGGGCATGGTGTGTAAAATCGGGGACGACCGCCCAGGCCTGTAAACGAAACGCAAAACAAACAAGGGGTTTCGCACGGACTCCGCGGAGAGATTTTCTGTAGTATTTATTTTAAAAGAAAAGGAGTAGGCAGAGATGCGCGCGTGCCCACACGTGTCCAACGCGAGGGAGCTGCACGCGGCTACACACACGCGGGGGGTCGGGCTGCGCGGGGCTCGGCGGCGCGGGGCGGCGCGGGGCGGCGCGG